CTCACAGATGAGTTAGTTGAGAATTTCATTCCTAAAATAGTGAGTCCCTATGTGTCCAGCAAATTTTAAGCTCCAGCAATTAGTAGGATTATTCAGATACAAAGGCTTCACTTACCCGGAATAAGTTAGGTAAGAGCTTTTCTTTCCCATTTAGGGGGGTATCAAGGAACGGACGATGAATGTTTTATTTCTTGTTTAAATAAATCATCTGCTCCTGCCCTGTCCACTTTGTTTTGGTTGCTGAGTGTGACACATCTAAGTTTGCAGGGTTGACAGCTACCAGGATAGATGTGATACTGACCTTATTAATTTGTGTGGTGCACCATCATATCCTAGGAGCTATGAAAGCTAAGGAACTGTTTCCTGGCTTTAGGGAATTTCCACTTTGGTGGTGGGTAACTCTGGGTCCCAAAGCTATTTTTACTGACTGGCACCCCCAAATTTTGTGTTTGCCTAAAATATTAATTCAGTGTTAAATTAAGATTCTTTGGCTTCTCTCTCTCTCTCTCTCCCCCCTCTCTTTCTCTCTCCCCTCTCTCTCTCTCTCTCTCTCAGCAGAAAAAAGGGGCAAGGGAAAAATAGACCAGAACTAAGAATCCAGGAAATGATTTTGAGATTAACATAGCAAAGGTTTAGGACTATTAACGTAAGCTTGTGTTACAGTTTAAAAAGCTGTATGAAGGTAGAGCAGCTCTGAAGACCTGGCACTCTCAACTAAAGGTGATCCCAGCAGGCGGCTGATTATTCCACCTGGCCTCTGACCCCGAGTTTCTTTACCTACCTGGAGCTCACCTGGTTTGTTCCCTTGCCCATTCTTGGAAAGCCCAACCTTCAATCCTTTTTTTTATCTAAAGCTTGCCCTTCCTTAACAGCTCAGCTCACATTCCACAGTTATTATTAAATCAATTAAATATTTATTTAACACGATTAGTTACCAGGTACCAGGCCAGGTGGTAGAAATACAAGGATGAAAAAATCAAGGTCTTCCCTGTTCTAGAAGAGCTTACACACCAGTAGAGGAGATAAAGGACCCATATAAGTATACAAGTGCCGCATGCTCAGACCTTGGGGTGCCGACAGAGGTTTGTAGGTGCAGCCTTGGTGGACCAGAGAAGGGAAAGCCATAGGACACAGGGCTCCTATGAATTTACTGTTGACCTTTGACATGGTTTACATTTGACATTTAGTAAACTTTACCTTATAGTGTTAGTTATCTTCCTGGGTTTATATGCTGAATTTCAAACTAAAGTTTCTTTGAGGTCCAGGTTGTATCCTTCTTTGTATTCCAGGGACATAGTAGGTGCTCAATAAATGTTTGTCATTAGTAACATTTATTCATTATTGTATATGCCGATGTTACTGATACACATTATCAAACTTCATTATGTAGAGCCTTGTTTTTGAAGTGGACAGTAGACTGGCCTTTATGGGAAGAAGGGTCCTGCACCTAACTTCCCCCTGCCTTCCGGAAGATGCTGCCCCCAAGCTGTCCTGTTGTGTTTCTGACTTCTCACATTTTTTTCAGCAACGAGGAAGTGAGAGCTGGCGGTTGCCTTCCTCAGGTAGTATTTGCTGAGCCACCCTGCTACCTGGCAGGCTCTCTCTGAGGACCTGATTCAGAACCCCACCTGATCTCACCATTGCCTTCTTATCAGTTGCAAAATCCAGAAAGTTAAGAACTTGGGAGAGGTATGCTAACTTGTGCTGTTGTCCATTACTCTTTAGTGTGCAGAGAGGAGATAGAGACCCAGGGACCTAGGCATAGGCAGAAATAACAGCTAGGTCTTTAGCCCTGAAATGAGTATAACTCATAGCCGAGTTTCCTTAAGGGGAGTTTGTTTTGTACTTACCCCATCAGAATTTATTTTAATTGAATTTTTTGTTTTAAGCTATTCTGCACAACTGGAGAGTGGAATCCAGGGAGGCCTTGTGTATGGAGATAGACTATTAATGGAACCTGGTGAATTATGACTGGGAGGTACTAGTATGATGTTATTGAGAGCTTTGTAACTGTACTCCCAACCTCCTGGATTTCTGTCAAAGGAACCCTGTTTTTGATTTATAAAAGAGAACACGAGAGCCTTGGGGATGTTTAAGGCTGGGAGGGAGGTATTTCTGGGATGAACTGAAGGAAGAATGTGGGTGATGGGCAAGGAAGGAGCACCTGTGATCTCTTAGCTCTTAGGATAACTCCTCCGCCCTCCAGCAGGGTCAAATCCGATTGACTGTTGGTGGAGGAAGCCTGCATGGGGCAATGGCCCAGCTACCTTATTTTAGACCCAGAGAAAATCCCAAACCATAAATAATGTGGTTTAAGGCTAAATTGTGGCTTGGGACTTTGTGTTTTTTCTCACTTACACTTTCAAGGGCTTTTTAAGATCTTAGATGTCAGATTGACCTGGTTGTAATTCCTACTCTGCCAACAAACATCCTTTGTGGCCATGACTAATATTCTACCCTCTCATAGCCTCCGCATGCTCATGTGTAAAACGCGAGATGGCAATAAGACCTACAGCTTGGAGTTGAAAAATTTTATATAGATATAAAATGCCCGGCATCAGGAAGGTCCTTGTATCAGACAGGGTCCTGGCAAGAAACAGAATTCAACTAATGACCTTCTTAGAGGGGTGTGGGCAGCGTTAAGGGAACTGACAAATGATGTTCAGGTACCAAGACTTGGGCACTGAAGGGGAAAGGGGTGGAAATCCTGTTGCATCTGCCCTGTGAGAGCTATACTGTATCCCTGCCAGGAGAGGACCTCAGCCCTTTCATCTCTTGCCAGTGCTCTCCAGGGGTCAGACCCTACCCAAGGATGTCTGGCCTGGGGCACCTGGGTAATGTCATCTGCAGCAGCTCCTCTGTGGGCACAGAACAGGGAAGAGACAGGTAGAGCCAGATCTGGAGGACAAGCCAAGGATAAGAGTACAGTCTTTGATAAGCCTTTGTTCCTGTCCCAATAAAGAGTGACTTTTTATTGGTCTGTGATATGCTAAAAATTATAAAACATATACCTCAAGTTACCCAAATAGTTCTTCGTATGCCACTTAAAAACACTGAATTTCTTTTCCCGATGAGTGCCTTAACATTTCAAATGTACATTTACTATTTCTGAATTGAATGTACTTCTGAGAATATCTTTGGCTTTTGGGAGTCCCCATGTCAAGTAGTTTATTATTTGTGAAAACTGAAATATCTGTTGAGCATTGTACTATGTGAGTGAAGAACTCTTTTTATTATTTTTCATCTGATTCTTCCATTACCTGTTCCATTAACTCCTGGGGGAAGCCTGTGTGCAACTGTGACTATATTGAGGGGAAAAATATCTATGGTTTTAGTTTCCAGAGACTTTTTTTAATCTGACATCCTCCTAAAGATGTTAAATGTAAGATCATTTTATTTAATTAGAAAGAAGTAGAGCACAGCAATTCAGATAGAGCATCGGAAATGAGTGATGACTTTTGGGCCTCCACAGGGA